GTTAAGTGTGGATGTGCCCTGCGGGCTTTGGGAGAGCAAACGGAGGCTTCCACCCAGGTGAGTCTTTCCTTGGCTTTCCTCCTCCCCGGTTGCAGTTGGCTGCAGCAGGGAGAGGTGGCAGTGGCCCAGGGGTTGTTGGAGGACAGGGATCCCGCTGGAAGATGCTCGAAGCTGTTGGTGTCTCCGTGCAGGAAGGGCAGGAACACAGCAGGGCACAGAATTGCCCGGAGGCTTGGTCATATTTTAGCAATCATCCAGCCCGGCCCTGTTTGCTTGCAAAAGGGTCAGACCTCTGATAACCTGATTTTCAACTGAAGGTAGAAGCACGTTTTGATGCCAGCTCAGGCGAGCCCTGGCAAACGGAGCTTCGAGCCCGAGGCTGGAGCTCGCGCCTCCGCCGTGGAGTTTTTCTGGCTATTTGGCTGTGACTAGAGCTGGATCCTGACAATACAGAACAAAACCTGAAATATTGGATGAGTAACAGGCTCAGCTCTGAATTTCCTGGCTTTGGCCAAAGTCTATCTCAGACTTATTGTTGTTTTAAAATGGAGCTATGTGTTCATGTTTGTAGACTATTGTGATTTCCAACATCACTGTAGCAACAACTGTGCAGTTGATTTGTTTACTCCAAAATTGGGATATACTTAACCTGGTCATTTAAACCATTTCCACTGGACTGGAATTTGGTACTTATACTCTTATCTCCATCTTTTGTTTTAAAGAGGTTTTTGTCTAACATTTGCACATTAAAAATAAGCATTCGGGTTCCCTTGGTAACATGTAGAGAAATCCATTATATTTTGGAATGAAAATCAGGGATTTGTTGTGATATAATAATCAAAACAAGAACCCAGGAGTTCATGCTCCTGGAATATCTCTGCAGCACGCTCAGGCACGGCACTCGCCCAGGGCTGCACGAGTCTGGGTGAGCCGAAGACAAGGGAGCCGTCGCTGAAGGTGGGCAAAGTCCTTTCAGTCCTTAGAGGTTTGTAAACGCTGCATTTTCTGAATGAGAAAATTCACAACCTTTTCAATCATAGGTGTGTGTCCTTAATTCCTTGAGAGTACCCAACTGCATGCGGCCATAGCAAAACACCAAACCCAACAACCAGCAGTGCCACACCAACACGGGGGGAAGGAAAGGCACCTCTCCAATGCGATTTCCCACCCTGGGCCACGGAAGAATCAGCTGGAGGTTTATCATGACTGAAGCCCCAGCAGACTCGCGTTGTTTGCCGACTCGTTGGCCAGTGAATCCAAAATAGTTTGAGATACTCTACCCACCACTAGAGGAAGACGTTTCTGTTCGGTCTAGATGTGACTGAGATAATCACACTGAAGGCATCTTACCGACTTATTTTTCACAAGGAAGTTCTCCATAGTGCTTATCGCTCACCATTACTTGGAAACCTGTGCTCCTTCAGCTCAAGGGCAGCCCTGTCTTCTCCTGCACGAGGGATGTGACATTTAAAACGGAGCATGTAGTTTCTTATTTTCATAGGAAGAAATAACAAAGAGATTAATTTAGCTTCCCAGAAGAAAGGAGCATCCTCTCAGAAGAAAAGGCTAGTAAATCAAGTTGATGGATGATCACCCTCAGCCTCCCTCTGTGCTGTGTTGTTGCCAGGCTGGCATTTCCTGGCTCCTCCGCACGCTCTTTTCTTGCACAGGCTGAATTTTCGGAATCAGCTGCTGCGATATGAAAGGTCACTGGATAAAAGGCTTAATAAAAAGCACTGTTTCTGTGTTAGGCACCAGGAGGCCCAGTTGCTACCAGTGGTTATTTTTAGAGTGGTAAAGAAGGAAGCAAACAACTGATGTCCCCCGAGCAGAATTAAAGAAAGAGAAAGGCTGTTGCTTAAAGAGCAGAGTCATTGCTGGTCAAAGCGAGGACGGACGTTCCCAGGGCAGCCGAGGGGTGCTGACCTTCACCTCTGTGTTCCCGTCCCGTCAGAGATGTAAATGTGTGTAGCTGTCAGCTCTTCAGCTGCAGGTTCTCACGTCTCTTTGGTTCTTTGGAATGTCCCCAAAGCCTTTCTGCTCTCTGTGTGCTTAACCCAGCCCGGCCTGGGCGTCCGTCCCGGCCGGCCACGACGCTCCCGGCCGAGGGATGCCCCTGTGTGGGGTGCAGGGCCAGCTGCCCCAGCCAGGCTCCTCATCCCAGGGCTCCTAACGCCCAGTCCTCGGGCCACGGAGGGAGCTGAGGACCTTGCAGGGCTTTGTCGCCTACACAGGGTGTCAGTGTTGTTCCACCTCAGCGCAGGGACGGAGCTCCTGGAAAGCCAGCTGCTGGGGAGGGACGGCAAACCCTCCGACTGCGTGTTGGCCTGGGACATCTGTATGGCCTCTCCATGCACTGTCCAGCCTCGAGGCAGCCTCACTCGTGATGTGTCCGGGGGCTAGAGGTGACCGTGGACCTGAAACTGGGACATCCCCTGGCACCTTCTGCACCCCTGGGACAGCTGGATGGCGAGCGGATCGTCCAGGGCAGAGGTATGTGCGTGGTGCTGACCTACTCTCTTTCAGACAGTTTGCTCTCCTCTAGCTTTAATCTTCTGGGAGTAAGGAAGCAAGAGCAGCTGCCTGGCCCGAGGGGGTGCCAGGTAGGGGGGACAGTCCCATCAGGCTTGTACGCCACAGCTACTGCGATGGGGACATGCCCAGCCAGCCTGCAGTCACCTTTTTACCTCCCGAGCTGCTGCTCCTGGCCTGCTGCTCTTGCAGACAGATGTTTTGGAAAGCGATAGGCTCTGACATCTGGCTGTGCTTCTCTCTAAGTGGAAAGTCATCGAGAGCTGAGCTGAGTGGGGTGCTGGGACCACTGCCCTGCCCGGAGCAAAGCAGCGGGTCGGGGATGGGGGGCACAGGCCTGGGCACGGCTGGCTGACGCACCTGGGAGCCCTCCCAGCGGGGATGAGCTGGACCGGCGGCAACTTCTGGCTGGGGTGTGTGGGGTGTTGGGTGGGGAGCAAACTGCTCCCTGGGGAGTGGCTGTAGCTGCTACAGCCGAATTGTCCCGCAGCTGCAAGCAAAATCTGCCTGGGGTGTGAATCCCCAAGGGGGGAGGGCTGCCCTTTCCCGTAGGAGTGAAGCCGGTGGGCCAGCCCGGGGAGCAGGGCAGCAGCCCCCCTGTTCCTGCGGCACAGGTAAGCGGCAGTGGGGAGCAAAGTGCTTCATGCACTTCTCCTGAAAGCAGCTCGGCGGGGGGTGGGAGGGGAGCCCCTGCCTCAGCCCCCCATGCTGGCTGGGGTCCCAGGGCCCCAGAGGTGGCAAAAAGGCTGGGCTGGGGGAGGCAGACACCGGCCCCCCGCGGCATCGCCAGCGCTGGCATCGTCCTGGCGTGGTGGGCAGCGAGGTGGGGGGGAAGGAGGACGGGGGTTTTGTGGCTCCAGCAGCGCTGACGTGCACCTGGGAGAGCCTTGGGGCAGGGGAAAAAACTGGATTTGGAGGAGCGGGGCTGCCTGCCCCACAGGCAGCGTCCCACGGGCAGGGCTGATAAAACCTCCTCAGCCTGAGAGTGGCCAGAGCAACTGCCCAGGGGCAGGGCCCCAGTGCTCGAGGTTTCACATGGATTTCATGCTAGTTCTTCTCTCATAGATTGGGTTATTCTGTCTTTTATGTATTGCTCATTGTCTTTGTTTCTCTCCTGATTTTCATCTTGAATTTAAAAAGAAAACCCCAAACCAAACCAAACCAAACACATTTTTTTTTTTCCTTTGCACGTGGAGAAAAGGAAAAAACCAAGCTCAGCTCAAGAAGCAACATTTGATCCAAAGTAGTACAGGATGTCAGGAGTCTGCTCCTGCTTGTTTTCTTCATTTACACGTGGGTTCAGCCTGGGTGGCTGGTGGCATTGCGATGCTCAGCCTGAATGAGAGGGGAAAGGATGGCTGCAGGACCACGATCTGCCCGAGCATCTCCCAGACACAGTCCTGCAAGGGTGGGGAAAGTCACAGACCAAACCAGATAAACATGAATTTGATCAATGCCTGGTGAGCACTTGTTAGAGAAACAAATATTGGGTTAAAAAAAAAAAAAGAGAAAGGGAATGTGAAATTTCAGGGATTACTTATTAAGAGCTAAGTCTCCTTTGGGTGGCAGCGGGCTCGGGGACAGCAGCGAGTCCCGGGGTGGCGGTGCCAGGGCTGTACCCGGCCAAGCTGGGGCGGGGGCTGTGGGACCCTTGCTCGTCACTCGAGGGGCTTTTCTGAGTCTCAGCGGTCACCCTGCTGACAGCGGGGGTTCCTCATCGCTGTGCTCCGGGGGTCGTCACCAAACACGCGCCAGCGCGCTCGGCCACCGAGGCTGGGGGTGTCGTGGGCTCTGGGGAAAGGATTCATCGCTGAATATTCCCACGGAGCAAACGCTGACATTACGCCCTCTGTTACCATTTACTTCTATCCTTTCCAAAGGTGTTAAACCAGAGAGATGAAAAAATACCTAACGGGCAGCCAGATGTCACAGTGAGGACAGAGGGACCTGGCTGGGGCTCGGGCAGCTGCTGCAGGTTTTTCTCTCTTACTCACAAAGGCGATTGATGAGGATTTTTGAGGAACTGCAGCTCAGAACCAGCTTTTGGGCTTCTTTTTTTTTTTTTTTTTTAACCTTTTCTCATGATGTTTCTCCATCCTCATTGGCAGGGGAGGCCCCGTGCTGCCCATGACACCACTGGGGACCTTGCCGGTGCCATGGTGGGGGGGCACGGGATGTGCTTCATGCACAGACCGAACCGGGGGGTTCAGCGCGGGGCAGCCGCCGGGGCGCAGTGGGGCACAGTGCTGCCGTGCCCACCCCCACTCCCTTTTCTGGCCCTTCTTGGAGGGGGTAACGCCAGAGCGCTGAGCAGCGGGGCGCTGGGAGTGCCCTGCGGTAGGCACCGTGGGGCAGGTCTTCCTTCATGCTAGCGTCTGTTCCACTTCCGAGACTCGTCAGATTACTCACAAACATCGCCTGGGCCTTCCCTAAAAAATAAGCCTTAGAATTCTCCAAATAATGGCAAAATGCCCTTTGGCTGTGAAAGTGCCAACTGTTTCTTCTTACGCAAGTTGCCCTCAGAGGCAGAAGAGTCTGGGAATGCTCCCGAGACCCATTATGAGCAAGTCACAGTTCAAATTTAAATGTCTGCTTTGTGCAAGTTGTCCTTGTGGGAAGCGTGTGATTTTTCTCCTCTAGTATTGACTGGAGACGTTCAGTGAGCCGAGGTTAAGCAAGCGGGTGTTTGAGCCCTTCACCAGTAAGTGACTGCCCTGCATCCCACTGGAATAGCCCTCGTGGGACGTGCCCCACACCTCGGGGCTGGGGTCTGCGTCCGTGCTCGCCGTCCAGGGCTCGTGTGGCTCCTGGAGATGACCTGAGCCTGGCTTAACATGCATGGGGTTTGTCTGATCCCTTGGGACCATTTGCATGCTGTGGGGCCCATGGAGCCGGGGCCAAACGCTTTCCTTTACAAGCTTAGTTTGCGTCGCTCGTGTTAGGGGAGGTTTTGTGGCATGCCCCGGGGGCGGAGGCCCTCGGCTCCCTGCCTCCCACCGAGTGCTTGTCGAGCTCTGTGATGGGCACCCGGGTGCAGTCGAGCCCTTTAGCAGCCTGCTGAGGAGTGCGGGGCAGCCCTGCCCCTGGTTTTGGGGTGATGGCTGATCCCAGGGGCCCGCACCGTCTGGTTGGGGGGGGGGGGGGGGGGGGGCTGCGCCATGGCAGCGGGAGGATGCTCAGCACCTCCGGGGGTGGCACGGAGCACGGAGGGTCGGTCCCTGGTGCGATGGAGGGGGACGCGATGGAGCGCCAGGAGCCGGCCAGCACCCGAGCACCACCTCCAGCAAGGTGGGTGAGACACCGTGCCCCTCCTGCAGAGCCCGGAGCAGCCGGACCCCCCCAGGGACACCCCCCTGGGACCTGGAGGTCGGGGCTCCCCCACTCTCCCAGGGCCAGACGCGGTGCTGCTGGGTGCCGTGCTCAGCGCTGGTCAGGATGAGTCCGCGCTCGCCGCCGGCTGCTCCCCCTCCCCGGCCCATGGGCTCCTCGGGGCTCGGGCACCTTCCCCGGGACCCTCGGCTCCCTGGGACAGTGACAGGCACCTCGCTACGGTTCTCATTTTCTGGGGTTTTTCCTCATTAAACCTCAGGAAAGATAGCCAGAGATCCCTTCTTCCTGGTGTTTCCTTCCTCTAGAAGTTTAAGGACAAAGCTCGCTGCAGCCTTTTCAAGAAACAGCATTGGATAATCTTTCCTCTTTTGTTAATTTTATTTCTTTTCACCGTTAGCAGAACATTTGTTTGCATGACAGTTCCCATTTAGCTTTTGACAAGTTCTATAGCTGGTCAATTTATTTTACTTTTTAAGTGAAATGATGAATAAAGAAAAAAAATTACTTTCTTTTGCCAGCACTACATAGACATTGCCCTTTGTTAAATAATTATTATTTATGACTCCTTTAATGGATGTACAGCACAATTTTACGGTGTCGGATTCTGTCCCGTTAGGACCAGAATTTTATCACTGAATTTAGATGCAGGAAGAGTGCCTGTGCATAATATGAGGTATCCAAAGTCCCTGGGCAGCTCTGTGCATGAATAATCTTCTGATTTCAGGACACAGATGCCGTGGTCACGGCCGGTCCAAGTGCGGGCTGTGCCATGGGGCAGGCCGGGTGAGGGGCTGGGAACCCTCTGCCAGGCAGCCTGCCTTCCCTCTTCCTCTGATTCTGGGGTTCGTTTGCAAAACCCCAGATGTTCTAGCTTAGTGCTGTGCTTGTCCCGAGGGCTGGAAATCTGAGGGTGTGTTCTGGTTTATTCCCCCTTTGCCCCGCCGTCCCCCAAAGCCCCTGGGGGTTCGCTCCATTTCCAGCGGAGGTTCCCGGGTCCTGCAGAGATGCCGAATGGGGTTGTCAAAATCCTGCCCAGGTGGCAAAGATGTCCTGCCCCGTCCTCAGCCGATGGCCTGCGAGCTGTGGTGGGGAGAGGGGAAGGGGAATTTGCTTCTGCTCCGTTGAAAAGAGGTCAGATCCTACGCGGGAAAGGCAGCAGAACGCTTGCTGCCTTTCAGATGTGCTCAGTCCCGATTCCGGGGTTTCTGCGTGGGAGAGGAGGTTTAACCCAGGGATGTGAGAACAGTGACAAATCCGCCCTCCTCTTTTTTATTTGTTCTTCTGCACAGATATTCCCAGGCAGCCGACAGATGTATTGTTATTGCAGAAATTTGCCGCTTAATTAAAGTTAATCTGATTAAATGCGAATACTTAAATAAAAGTATACTACTAGCTACAGGAATAAATAACAGTGGAAAAAAACCCACATGTGTAAGGAAAAAAGCATTTCAACCTAGATTGTGTGTCTAGTTTCCATCACTGGTGAGTTTGACTGGAACAGCTCCTTAATCCAGGGCCACGATTGATGAGCTATTTTGTACACTTCACTTACAACACACGTACTTGGCATATGCCTTTCCCTGCAAGCCCGAGTTAGCAATTATTTTGATAACGCACATGAAAGCTTTTGATTTATAAACCTGACGTGAGTTTATTCTCCCAGTCACCGCCTCTTTGAATTCTTCGGTGTGTTTGCCGCCGAGGTGTGCCGCGCGCAGGGGGTCCCGCCGGGGGCTGAAGCAGGAGGGGAGGTGCCAGCTTTGCTCGGGTGCAGGGCGCAGGAGGTACGATGGGCTCCGCTGCGCGTCCCTCGGCTTGGCTCCTTACTCCGTGCTCACTCACGCGGTGCTGTGGGTAGTACAAACCAGTCCTCCCGGCCCCGCTGGCTCGGTGGAAGGGGTCAGCGGCGGGAGGAGGAAAAGGCTGGGGAGTTGGTAGGGGAAAACAAGCCCTTCATCCAGTGTGCTTGAGCCAAAAAAGCCCTTCGAGCCAAAATGACTTCACTGGCGTGCTGCTGGCAGAGGTTGCAGTGCAGAGCTCTACATGCCCGGGTGCTTTTTTTATTTTCTACCGTGAAGATCGCCTAACAGATAAAGCAGCACAGCAGTAGCTTTATTCTCCAGGAACAAATGGTTAGAAATAGCCTTTCCCCCCTCCGATTTTTGAATGATCTTTCATTCTAACATCTGTTATTCAGTCTGTGTGGCCCACCCTCAGCATTCAGAAGCCAGACTGGTATCCCAAACTTGCGAGAGAAGCTCTTAAGCATTTGGAAAATAGTAATTTTTTGGCTCGCCTTTCTTCCATATTTTTTAGCTTTCTGTTACGAGCCGGTCACCTTTCCCAGCTTCCCCGGGGAACTGGAGAAAGCTTTGGGTTTTGCGGTGAAAGCAGACTTTCCCAGGCCTTCAGGAGCTGCTGCAGGAAAGAGGTTTCGAGTGTCTCCGGGTCGATGCTCAGCCTCCCACGCCGGGTCCCGGAGGGCTCCGCTCGGCTCCCAGCGCGGGACGGGCGGCACCAAACTTCCCGGCTGCTCTCCGGTCCCGTTCCCTCTGGGGACTCTCCGGTCCCCCCCCTTTGGTTGGGCTTTGGCAGGTTTCATGGCCAGCGCAGCCTCGACTATGATTGCCACCCTCTGTTTTTGCCAAGCATGAAACTTAACAGGCTTAAAAATTATCTTTAAGTGGCAAAAAAAGAGAAAGCACTGTTCTAAAACTGTTTTGTTTATGTGGCTCCATTAAGCTTAAAATAACAGAGATGGTATCGTGCATAATCATGGCAGTCATTTTAAAGCATGAATCCACTGGGGCTAATGATGACTTGAAGAGCCTTAATGAATCAGTTGTTAACTGCTGCTAATCTGTGTTGCATTGATGCAATCAAAATGCTCCATGCATAAGCATATGCCTCCTGCATCTGTTAGAAGCACAGGCAGCAGCGTCTTCAAAGTGACACTCGCCTTCCGACCGTTGTGTGGGGAAATTGTGATTATCCTTAATTAGATGTACAAATACATTCTTTGACTAATTCCACATTTACAAATAGATTTGAGGCTAGCATTAGTCACTTGTTTTTCCCAGCAAATATGTTACATCCCTTGAGTCACAGACCGGGGGAAGACGTATGTGCGGTGCATCTGCTGCCATCGACTCCTGTAGCTGCTGACCCAGCTGAGCTGCACAAACAGTCCGAAATAAATCACCCTCGGGTCTGCAGGCCTCTGAAAGTGGGCAGAAAAAATCCTTTCTGTTGGATCTAAAGGCGCAATACCTGTTCTGGCCGGGGCAGCAAGACCTGTGCGACGTGTCAGGGAGAGAAAAAGCTCCAACTTTTCAAGCAGCTGGCGGTAACCTGGTAAGCAGCATGGGTAGAAGTTCAGAGCTGCTACTTTTATTTCTTATTTTATTGCCAGGCTTGGGAGCTCAGCTGGGCTCCCTAAGGGGAGGCTGGGAGCGTGTTTATTGCTTCTGGTCAGGCAGAAACAGGGGCTCAGAGGGGCAGCTTTGGTCCTTAGCAATGGATCGTCTTGTCCACGGGCCGCGGTGGGAGCTGCAGTGGGTTCACAGAGGTAAAGGATGGCCCAAGGTCACACAAGAAGTCAGGACTGGAGACGGAGTGGCTGAGCCTCTGCCTGGCAGACCCAAAGCCCCCGGTAGCCAGGGGCGAGCTGGGGCAGTGGCCGAGCTCCTTTTCCTGGGGCTTTCGTGACGGCGCAAGGCTGCGGTGTTGCCCTGGCACGTCCCGTTTGGGAGCTCTAGTGCCAGAGAGAGCAAATAGGGCTGAAAAGGTCTTAGCTGGTGAGGTTCAGCAAAAAGCCATTACCTGCCCTGCTGGGTGCTTCCTGAGCACTTTCCCGTTTTTGCACAAAATGCCTTCAATTGCCCTTGTGTGAAGACCTGCATTTTTCAAAACACCATCTCCGTCCATCCTGAAGGATTGGAAATTGCTCCAGCCGTGCCTGTCTCGCTGGTGGGACTCCTGGGGGGGGGTGCGGGGGCCCCGGAGCTGCACTAGCCCAGACAAGCACAGCTCTGTCAGACACGACCTTCAGCTCCTTTGGAGGCCACCATCAGCCGCCGACCATGCCCATGTCCTGCAGGTCACAGAGCAAAATCCTTCCCTGGCAGAGCTGCTGTGGCTTTGGAAAAGGAATGCAAGACCTCTCCTGCAGCAAGGGGTTAATAGGTGCAGAAGGCTCTGAAAGCCGTAAGGCAAGGTGATCACCATGAAGGTCTGATTTTGGGCTTATTTATGCAAGAGTCATCCATGGCTGTTACATATACAAGGTTATTAAGAAACTCATGTGGGAGGGCACAGAGGTTAGGCAGGCGTGACTATTGTCCTCGGAAATGAGGGAGCATCCAAGCATTACTCGGGCATTTAGAAAGAGCCAGAGCCTGGGTCATCCAGTTGTTTTCCCTCTTTCTTGCAGGAAGAACGATGTCTTTGAATTTGTTTCTGAGCATCATCTGAACTTCCCAGGAGAGCTGCTCAGCAAAATCGGCGGAGAGAATGTATTTAAAGATGAAAATGTGGTGGTGAGGTTGGCTCTCGGGGCCGGAGGGGTTCCCTCCCGGAGCGGCTGTGAAGGAGGGGGGGTGTGAAATAGCTTCCAGTTGCGGTGGCCAGGGGCTGCTCTGGACACGGGGACATCCAGTGCCCGCTCCTGCAGCAGAGCTGCCGAGGCCCCACTCGCGGGCCACAGCTTTTCCCTTTTCAACATTGCTTAGGGAGCGATGGGCTTATGAAATCCGGCGAAACTGAGTCTTTTTCCACCCGCAGCCCCTGGGAGGTCGCGACTTTGCCCCTTCCTGGGAGGGGGGCCAGGATCAGAAACGCTTTGGCGGGAGCAGGGGGACGCGGGGAGGGGGTGACCTGCGCGGTCTGGCCGCGGTGGCTCCGGGCTCCTGCCCCTCGGGCAGAGCCGCCCCGGTTTCCTCGGGATTGATATCGTTGGGTTTTCCGCCTGACGAAGCGCAGCAGCCGGCAGCGCTCAGCCACCCCAGGTCCCTTTTGGTGGCCGTTGCCAGATTTGCAGAAATGCCCCCCCCCCCCAACCCGAGCGGCTCTCCTCTGCATCTCTGCAGCCACCACGAGACACCCCGCAGCACGGCTGTCCCCGGGGCTTTTCGCATTGACCCTCGTGCATTTGCCACCGCCGGCTCTGCGGGGACAGCGCATGGGATGGCAGCTCTGCTCCCCCAGCCCCCCCCCCCCCCCCCCCCCCAATCCCGCAGCCAGCACCGATCCTGCCAGCTTGGCAGCCCGGATCCCGCGCAGAGGTGCTGCTGCTGGGCTGCCGGGGGGATCTGCGGGTGCAGGGCCCCTAAACGGGATGTTCATCAATGCTGGACGTGTCTCGTCCTCCAGCTGCCGTGGTACCGGGCTGCCGGAGGGAATCTCCGCATACCTGCAAAAGGCTGGGGCAAAACTGTCTGAAAATGTCCTGTCCTACAGCCAATGCCTTTTCTGTACTGCTCAGTCCCCAGCTTGATTGTTTTTTGTTTTTTTGTTTTTTGTTTTTTTTTAAATGTGAATGCAAATGACTGAGGATTTAACTGTGCCTTTTTATTATTTATTAGTTGTTTTGCAGTAACCTGTCGAAACTTTAGTCATGTACCAAGACAGGGAGATAGGCACCATCCAAGCACAGACCAGCTTTCCTCCGGAGAACTATTATTCAGTGCCATACATCTGTAGCAAAGACTTTGCATCTGGTGTTGCAGAATCCCTCTGGGATCTGAATGATGCTTTAGCATCTGACTTACTCTCCAGCGAATGCTGTAGCTCTGAAGCCCTGTGAGCATTGAAATCAGTGGGCTTCTCACATAAATGGCTATCACTCCTGGCTGTGCAAGCAGGAGCTGCATTCCTGACTAGCTCTGCATCACCCCCCAGCTCAGTATTTATTCTGTAAATTGTCCACATGCTGGGGGAAAACAGAGAAGCTTAAAAAAGCCTTTCAAATTTAAACATGGAAGAAGGTGGCGGGGAGTCCCGTTGGGGCAGAGTCACCCAGTGCCAGACTCAACCAAACCTGCCAGGCTGGTTAAAGTTAATTTAGATTTAACCAAACCAGCCGCTCCCGGGGCTGCCCTGCTCCCCGGGCAGCGCTGACCCCAGCCTGGGGAGGCAGGGTCCTAGGCTGGCCACCTCCACGCCTCGCCGGGGCGGGACGGGGATGCCTTTGGGCCTTCGAGCCCAGCATCTATTCCGTTACGCGCCCAGGCGTGTGCCGCACAGCCAGGGTCCCTCCTCGGCACGGGGAGGGGTTTCCTTCTCGCGGCTGTGCCCCGTCACCCACTCCCCCCACCCCTGAGATCCCCCCGGGGCCTCGCAGCGAGCCGGCGCTCGCCTCGTCCTCCCGCGTCCCCCATCAGCGCGTCCCCCCGCCTGCTGCGCCCCCCCCGGGGCTGCTGCTGCTGCCGGCCTCGTCAGCTTGGTCGGACACAACAAGGTGCCGAGAATAGGAAACGATTTCATTTTTTATTTAGAGGTGATCTTTAGCAAACGAAAAAGAAATTGTAATTACCGAAGAAATCTTAATTATCTAGTGAAATACCAGGATAATAATTTTTCCGACACCTATTGAAAGATGTAGGCGACTGTGGTTATTATTGTTCCTTTTACCTTTTCAAAGCCCTGGCAAACATTATTTATTACCGCTATTTTAATCTTGGAAGCTAATTTTGAATAAACATTAGGATTCCACTCCATCTGATTCTCGCTAGAGTGCTGTAATCGCCGTTGCTGCTATTATAAATGTGATTGCAAATGCAAAAGTTTAGCTAGAACATACTATCTTTTCACCCACAGGAAAGAGAAGGTTTCACATTGAAAACACGAGTAAACGGAAAGACCAAAATAAACTTAAAGGGAGATGGTTTGATTTTCCATGTGGCCTGTCAAAACCAGCACTTTGGCAAATTTCTGTCCTCCAACTTCATTCCAGCCTATAATTCCCACTTCTCAGCATCAAAGGCAGTTTGTTCACTAGCTCGCTGCGCACCCGCCAAAGGCTCCTCCCGCTCCGTGGGAAAGTGGGTGCTGAAAGCCCCCCGGCACGGCGCGGGGTCTGCGCTGAGCCAGGACCCCTTCTGCCGGTGCTCTCCCCGCCGCTGGATTTTTCATCCCCTCTCCTTGCTGCTGGCTGAAGTTCCTCCGCTTAATAATCGGCATCTTTTGGAAGAAGCTGGCGGAGGAGGGAGGGAATCTCTTCTCTTCTTGGCTGACGCTGGTGTGGTTTCTTACGGCGTTGGCCGGGTGTTGGAGGTAAATACCTCTGGGGGGAGAGGGGCTGGAGCCCGGCAGGCTTTGCGGGGCTCATTGAGCTTTATTTAAAACAGATTTTGCATGTGGCTGGACCAAGAGGGGGGAGCCGGGGTGGGGGCCTGCCCTCGGTTCCCAGGGTGGAACCCCCTCCCGCTCCCAGCCCACCGAGCTGCTGGAGGGGCTGGGGGGATGTTCTGGGCTCGAGCTGGCAGGGGTCCTGGCTGTCCCCAGGGAGAGCGGTGGGGGAAATTCACCAAAACTTGGTGTTAGGGAAAAGGGGGGGATTGCTAAACTCGTTCTGCAAAGAAAAAGAAGGAACAAAGCTGGGCCCTCCATGAGGAGATAAGGTGCCACCGAAGCCCTGACACCAGCCTCTCTCCTGTAATTCAGCCGTGAATAATAACCACCAGATCAGTGGAGATGAAAGCAGCTTCCCTCCTTCCCCCTCAGCCAGGGAAGGGAGCCGGGCAGCGGGGGTTAAACCCGCAGCAATCTGTGCTGCAGCCCAGGGCCAGCACCCCTGCCCGCTGCTGCGAGGGACGGGGCTGAGGTGCCGGCAGGGGCTGTGGGTCCCCACCAGCACCCTGACATCCCGGGGTGAGGACGGGGAACCGCCGTCACCCACAGACCCCACCAGCACCCTGACATCCCGGGGTGAGGACAGGGAACCGCTGCCACCCACAGACCCCACCAACACCCTGATATCCCGGGGTGAGGACGGGGAACAGCCGTCACCCACAGACCCCACCAACACCCTGACATCCCGGGGTGAGGACGGGGAACCGCCGTCACCCACAGACCCCACCAACACCCTGCCATCCCGGGGTGAGGACGCCGTCACCCACAGACCCCACCAACACCCTGACATCCCGGGGTGAGGACGGGGAACTGCCGTCACCCACAGACCCCACCAACACCCTGCCTTCCCAGGGTGAGGACGGAGAACTGCAGTCACCCACAGACCCCACCAACACCCTGCCTTCCCGGGGTGAGGACGGGGAACCGCCGTCACCCACAGACCCCACCAACACCCTGCCTTCCCGGGGTGAGGATGGGGAACCACCGTCACCCACAGACCCCACCAGCACCCTGCCATCCCGGGGTGAGGACGCCGTCACCCACAGACCTCCACGGCGCGTGGCCCGGCGGCGTGCGCTAACCCACCGTGGACTGGAAACAGGGCTGTAAGGAATTAGCTTAAAGAGCTCCAAATGCAGCAAAGGAGGTCGAGTCTGCAAAGAGCAGAACATGCTCACTCCGTGCTGCCTGCGGCTAGGGGAATTTTTGATGGCTGTAGTGATGGGCTGGCGGGTCTCCGTCAGATTTGCTTTGCCCCTTCACAAAGCAGCAGCTCGCTCGGACCTGCGGGGCTTGTGGCTGAAAGCGGTTGCGTTTTTCCTCTTTACACATGTTGGTCTAAAGCGAGATACAGCGTCTGCCCCAAGCTGCTTATTTCGTTGGAGTTTTTCCTTTCCCAGCCTCAAACTATTGAGCTAATCCCCATCACAGAAGTTCACTGCCAGTATTCAGGGAAGTTTTAACTCTACTCCAGCTACAGGGTCAAAAATAAGGTGTCCGTGCTGGACTACCCCTGTGGTGCTGCTGCGGCTGCGCCATCCTCGGAGGGTGCTGGGAGAAAAGCACAATTCCTGCAGGGCTGGGGGGTGCCCCACACCTTGCCCCCCCACGCCGGCTGCAGCGAGGTGGAGAAGGGGGAGAAAACCACGACCCCCCCCCTTCCCCCAAACCGCTCGTATCGCTGAGCCGGGGCCAGCGCCAGGCCTGCTGCTGGGTGCAGGATCAGGCCTTTGGGTACAGATCCCCCCCGGGGATGGTTTCCTTTCTCCTTGGGATGCTGCGTCGTTGAAGTGATGCACATTGACAGGGACGTTTTCAGTCCAGCTCTGCAGTTTATGACCGGTGCCTGCCTTTCCCTGTTTTATTTGTCAGTTTTCCTGAGTTACTACATAATCTATAATGATATACTTCAAAATCTATCCAATTAGCAAATCCAGCTTCAAAGGATTTTGTTTTAAAATGCCCAGTAATACCATCTGAGAGGTGGTGGTATCGATACGAACATTATTGTCTAAAAATAAAAGGCTCTTGCGGTGCCCTGGGGCGGCTGCAGTGTGGGGGGAGCAGGAGGTTGTGGGGGGAGGACGTGGGGTGACCCTGGGGGGACACAAGCTCTGCCCCTGGGGACAGCACCCGCTCCCGGGGCCTCATCCAGACAAGGGGCATGGGCTCAAGTGCCTGCGGGAGGCGGTTCTGCCACATCCTCCCCTTTTTTATCTTGCAGCATTTATCTCAGAAAAGCTTGCAGGGGAAC